GGGCTCGAAGTCACAAACCGTGAGATCATGACCTGAGCCCAAGTCAGGTGCTCCACTGACCATGAGCCACCCAGGCGCCCCTCTTTGTTAAATATTTGCCTTGTTCCAATCTTTCATCATTATATATGGTGTACTGATAGATATCTTCATATATATATAGTTGCAGCTTTGATGATTATTTCCTTAGGATATAACCCCCCAAAATTAACAGGGATTCTTCTTTTCTTTTAATGTTTATTTTGAGAGAGACAGAGCACATGAGGGAGGGGCAGGGAGACAGAGAGGAAGAGAGAGAATTGCAAGCAGGCTCCGTGCTGTCAGCACAGTCCCACATGGGGCTTGATTCCACAAACCATGAGATCATGACCTGAGTTGAGATCAAGGGTCAGATGCTTAACTGACTGAGCCACCCTGGTCCAAGACAGGGATTCTTAAATAGGTAATGTTTTTAAACTTTCTAAATATCGTTTTATTTGTATTGTTTTGATTGAGGTATAATTAACATGCAACACTATATTAGTTTCAGCTGTGTAATAGGATGATTTACTATTTGTATATATTGTGAAATGGTCACCACAATAAGTCTAGTTAACATCCATCACCATACATAGTTATTAAAGAAATGTTTGTTTCTTGTGATGAGGACTTTTAGGATTTGTTCTCTTGGCAACTTCTAAATATGCAACACAGTATTATTAACTATAGTCACAATGCTGCACCTTACATCCTCTGGGCTTATTTATTTTATAACTGAAAGTTTGTACCTTTGACCCCCTTCACCCATTTCCTTAGGATAGACTCCCCAAAATTCACCAAGATTCTTAAAGTAGTATTTAGTGGACAAAATATGCTATATGAGCATTAAAAAACACACTAAGAGGGGCGCCTGGGTGGCTCAGTCGGTAAAGCATCCAACTTTGGCTCAGGTCATGACCTCACGGCTTGTGAGTTCGAGCCCCAGGTCAGGCTCTGTGCTGACAGCTCAGAGCCTGGAGCCGGTTTCAGATTCTGTGTCCCTCTCTCGCTCTGCCCCTCCCCTACTTGTGCTCTGTCTCTCTCTCTCTCTCATAAATAAAACATTAAAAACACACACACACTAAGATTATTCTAAACATTAATTAAATTAATTAACTCAGTCCTCAATAATAAAAAGCATGGGAAAACATATCCAGGGACTGATCTCGTTTACTTTTTTATGCTAGCTTTAGAAATACTTCTTTAAGTGCATTTATAGTAATCTATAAATAAATGCACAAAATTTTAAAAGGTAAATAAAAACACACAACTCATTGACCGCAATGTTTACCTCTGCAGAAGGGGCAGGATTAGAGATGGTCATCAAGAGAACTATAACTTTCTCCAAAATATTTAAATATTTTACAAAGAGTAGGTCAAATTGCTATATTCTTATGAAATTTAAAATATCCCTTCCTTTATATGTAAGTCTTTACAACATAGGGTAAATTTTGTTCCCTTGAGTCTATAAGCATGGAAATAATGTGTGTCCTTAAGGCGATTTACGTAATTTACAGAGAACTTTCTGCTACCTGATTGGTTATCACAATAGCCCTGTAAGCCAGGCATTATTGTATTTTAATCTGTAAGTACGTGCTAAATCCACAAAATTCCTCCCGGCTGATATTCAAGAAGATGGCCCTATTTTGCTTCCCTAAGATCTCCTCCCTGCTCTGTTACCACAAAGCTCATTCCTTTCCTCTCTCCCTCTCCCTGTTCCTCCCCTCCCCCTTCCCTCCCCGTTGCTAGCTTTGAGAAGTTAAGAGGCCAAATTGGGGAACCCCATGTGGGAATGAACTGTGGGCAGCCTCTAGGAGCTGATGACATCCTAGGCTGACAGCCAGCAAGAAGCCCTCAGCCCTCCAATAGCAAGGAACTGAATTTTGCCAATGAGGTAAGTGAGCTTAGAAGCAAGTTCTCACCCCGATGAGACCACAGCCCCAGCAACTTTGAAGTCCTGCAAGGCTCAAAGCAGAGGATCCAGCCAAGCCATGCCTGAGTTCCTGACACAGAGACTGTGAGACAGTAAATGTGTTGTTCTAAGCCATTAAGTTTGTGGTAATATCATCACATAACAATATAAAACAAACACTTTTTCCATTGAAGGAATTGAAAATTTGAGGCACATCTTTGGAGCAGACTATGCTCAAGAAATTATAAAATTGGAATATCCACCATCATATTGCTCATGCAGGGGATGAAGGTCAAGGTAAGTCATGCACTGGCCCCAGTAGAGCAGCCCTGACCTCTCTGAACCAGGATTCTTTTGTTTTCACTCTATGGAAGTGCTGACATGTCAGCTGTTTTTGCATGTGTGAACGGATCTTACACAGAGGACTCATGTCTTAGAACATGCACGTGGTGTTTGTACAGCAAAAATAATGTTGGTTCACAAGACCTACGTATATAGGATTTTACTAGAGCAGAGAGGCCTTGGAAAAACCTTCCAACCCAGCAAGCTTGCGTTTTCTTTTTAAAGCAATACCAACCAAGCTTAATTTAAATCAATAGAGAAGGTAAAGGGGCAAAAGGGGGAAAATATTACCTAAGCACAAGATAACAAAAAGGAAAGTGGTAGGCAACATATATGAACCTGGGGGGAGTGAAAATTCAAGTAAAATGTTAGTGGAATTAATTGTTTCTCCCCTAGAAACGTGGCTGACTTACCTCCCTATTAGAAGGTGGCCTTCGCTGAGTGCCTCTTGATTGAAGGGAAAGCATGTACCTTGGCCGTGTCATAGTCACTGGCTTACTAAAGGTTGCTGCTCTCTTTCCAGCACCTGGGGCAAGAAGCAGGATATGCTGAACTGGAAGAAAGGAAAAAAGAAAAAACAAAAAAGCAAAAATATTAGCAACATTGTTTAAAGGAAAAGCTGTAAGAGAAGATGGAAACAGCTTACAATGATCCAAAAGGGAGACATTAAGGCAAAGAGGAAATGTTAATGTAGGCTAAAAACACTTCTGTCTAGGAAGAAAATGAAAAATGCCCCTAATGGGTGATTCAAAAGCAATAATAAGCCTAGTAAACGTTGAATATACACCTACTGAATTAAACAACAGGAATATTGTAAATGATTAGTTAGCACCTCGAGTCGTCATTGCGCTAAACTTTTATCCATTTAGCAGATATTGGCATGCACTAACTCTTTAATGTTTCAGCACAGCCCTACGAGGTACACAGTGTTGTTAATCTCCATTTTACAGACCAGGAAACTGAAGGCGGTTCTGAAACGTGCCCACCTCGCTCGACTTGAGAGTGGAACTGGGATTTGAATTCAGGGCTCTCTGATCTGCTAGTTTTCTCGAGTTCCACGGTGATAGTAGAAAGGAACAGCAGGGAAGAGTCAAGGTTAAGAAATGCCCACATGCAGAAGGGAGGAAAGACAATGACTTATTCCTGGGGGTTAAGGAGCCCAGTGATTGCAGAAAAATGCCCCAAGAGATGAGTAGAACAATGGCAACAAAGGCCCGGTGAGAAATGCTCTCGGGATAAAACGGAAGAATAGTGGAAAATTTGATTTTAAAACCACTTTCCCAACCACTATGCTGATACTGGAGTGAATGAAAGAGAATGCCTGCATTAGAATCACTTGGGAATGCTGTTGGACTCTGGATCCCGGGGCAGCCCTGAGAATCATTGTGACAAGCCATCATTGACCAGGGGACCCTCTACAGCTAGGGAAAAATTCTGCACCAGAATGTAACTAGGAGGATGCTACTCACTGGTAGGAATGGCCACGGTAACTGGATATGTTTAGGTAACACTGACAAGAAGGTTAGCTCCCTGAGGAGCCCAAGTCATAGATTTACCTGGCCCAAATCCAGGCATGGGTATGGCATGGGTTCAATGATAAATAATAATAATAAAAATAAAAAGATCATGAATAAGGTGATGTCTCTCATCCCTTCACTCCTGTACTAAATAAACAAGCAAATGAATGAATGACTAAGACACGGTGTAGGCTGACAACATGGGCCCCTGGATGAAGCTGTAATCAGTGGCAGTGAGCACAGCACCCATTCTGCCATGCTTCCACAGCTAGGTGGCCAATAGATGGTGGGGCACGCCCTATACCACCAGTGCCAACCTGAAGGGCAGTCTGGATGGGCAGTCAGTCTGAGAAATACCTGAAAGATGCCTGAAATTTGAGAGGTCCTATAATAAACAAGGTTCTGTGTTTTGTTTTTTATCTCTGTACGTTGGGTGTGTTTAGAACATGACTTATGGTACTCATGAGATTGTCACCTGCTGTCTCTGCTTCCTTCTCCTAGTCAGATAAAAGCTGTGAAACATTGGATTTCACCTTGTCTAGTATAAAATTTTTTTCCAGCTCTATTGAGATATCATCGACACATAACATCGTATAAGTTTAAGATATACAGTGTGTTGATTTGATACGGTCGTAAAATGTAAAATGATTAGCACAGTAGTGTTAGCTAACACCTCTATCATATCACATAATTACCATTTCTTTTTGGTGGTGAGAACCTTTCAGGTCTACTCTCTTAACAAGTTTCTCGTATATAATACATTATTGTTAACTATAATCACAATGCGGTGCATTAGACCCCCAGAACTTATTCATCTTCTAAATGGAAGTTTGCACCCCCACCTTCTTTAATTTCATACTCCTTGGTGAAAGGAGGTGGGGGGGAGCAGACTGGAGATGATGCAGAGAGCTGGCGCCTTAAGGAGTCTAACAGACCTTTTCCTCTCCACCATTTCTGCAGGAAGGTTTTACTCCAGCATCTGTGTTTTATCCTAGCATCTCACAAATCTCTCTTAACACAGACCATCGCCTGAATCCCTGTAGCCCTTGTATCTCTGAAGGCATCCCTGCACTGTGTTTACCACTGTTACTCTCACCAACAGACATGAAGCTGAGACGATATTTCTAAAAATAAAACGGCTCCTCCTTCTCTACCTGTCTCCGAAACTGGGTACTGAAACAAAGCCAGGAACACCCTTCGTAGCAACTCCCTTGCTGCCAGATTTGTTTTCAAAGCGTCTGACAAGCCACATCCGATTCATCCTCAAAACTGATTTGTCAGGGGAATAAACAAGTGTCAGAACTTCCCAAGAAATCTAGTGATGAAAAGGCCTTTAACGATGAACAAATTAAATTCAGTTCTCACGCCAAGCAACAGAAAGAAAGCGAAGTGAAAAGCCACAGAAGACAAGCACAGGTATGATTTAAAATTTTTTTAACATTTATTTATTTTTGAGAGAGAGGCAGAGTATGAGCAAGGAGGGGCAGAGAGAGAGAGGGAGACACAGAATTCGAAGCAGGCTGCAGGCTCCGAGCTGTCAGCACAGAGCCCGACGTGGGGCCCGAAGTCACAAACCGCGAGATCATGACCTGAGCCTAAGTCAGACGCTCAACCGACTGAGCCACCCCAGGACCCCTCAGGCATGATTTTAGATAGGCCAGAGATGAGGGACTGTTAATGAGAAACAGATATAGGAGGGGTCGTTGCGACAGCAGATGCCCAGGAGAAGGGGGCTGAGCTGGGCAGGTCTTGCAGGAGAGGTACTTTGGGGCTGACAATTACTCAGCGTTTTATGAAAATGTCCCATCCACGGGCATCTGCTGGAGAATCATCTTTCCACCTGCTTTTGCCACTGGCATCCGTGCATCTCTTCTCCAACTCTTCTGTCCCAGGGCAGACGTGTGCACAGTGGGATTCCCCTGCCTTGTTTCCGCTCCTGCATTCCTCTCTAATGCTGTCAGATCAAATGAACATGCTCTAGGTGACCGCTCAATACTTCAGGCTTCAGGCTCTTAGATGAGCTGTAGCAATCTAACGGTGTGATGGTTTCCATTAAATTCTGAACCTTGCCCTGTAGGGATGGAGCTACAAAAATGCATAAATTATTTACTGTAAGGGCTTTGCTGATGACTGATAAAATCAAATTAGCTGCTTTGGGCTAAGGATGAATTTGAAACAGAATTTCCTTCTTTGAAGAGACAGTGACAAATCTATTTGATAGGTCTGCATGTTAACTTTTTTTTTTGGTTGAAATTTTAACAGAATCCTTTGTTAGGCAAAATGAATGAGATTGGCCTAGGTGATGAACTAGTTTTTTCCCAAAATGTCTATTTTTGTCACATTATTAAAGCCATACCCATCCATATAGATTTTATTTTTAAAAGAAAAAAAAAAAAAGAAACAGGAAAACCACAACAAAAGAACCACTCACCCATAATCCCAAAATCTGGTATTTGGAGCATTTACTCATAGCCTTTTGTCATGTGGGTGTATTAGTATGCAAGTTTTTAAAGTGAAGTCATTTTATATATATGGATATTTACTTTCTTCACATATTCATTAAAATCTATGTTAATGAGTATATAATATTCCATATTCTGACTCCATTTTTTATTACTGCTTTAGAATAATTATTCCGCCAAAAGGTACAAATACTTTTAAAGCTCTTGATATACATTGCCATATTATTTTCCAGAAGCTCTGATTTTATTTATTTATTATTTGAGAGAGATAGAGAGCACACATGTGATCAGGGAGAGGGGCAGAGGGAGAAGTTAGAAATCAGTAACAGAAAAACTGGAAAACTCACAAATTTGCTGAAATTAAACAGCACACTTTTTTTTTTTTAATTTAGAGAGAGAGGGAGAGAGAAAAAATGCAAGCAGGGGCGAGGAGCAGAGGGAGAGACAAAGAATCCCAAGCAGGCTCCATACTCAGCCTGGAGGCCAATGCAGGGTTCTATCCCATAACGTAGGATCATGACCTGAGCCAAAATCAAGAGCTGGGCGCTCAACCAACTGAGCCACCCAGGTGCCCCTGGTTCAATTTATAATCTCACCAGTTATGTATGGGTTTTTAATGTTTGGAGTTTGGGGATTAAAAACTCATAACAGAATTTGTTTCATACATACGGATACTTCTCAAAACATTTGCTCATTTACTAGATGAAAATACTCTCTCATTGCTCTTTGAATTAACTGACTAATGAAATTTACTACTTTTAGGCTTTCAAGTTAGTCTTTCAAAGAAACTGGGGTAGTGCATAAAGAGTTTTGCTCTGTTCCACTCCTTCCTGGCCACATGATTTCCTAATTCTTTCATTATGACTGATATAACCAAGAGTACCTGTATTGAAGTAAAAATATATCACTTTTTTGTAACTTAGCTGGTTCCCACATGAGATGCAATCCTAGTCTGATTCAAATCCTAGTCTAGCATGTTCAAATAAACATGCTACAGGAGCCAAAATTAATGACAATGTTTAAAATGTATATCTAATTTGACTTGTCTCTCTTAAAGAACATTTTTTAAAGACATAATTTATCATTCATGATATTTCTTTAAAAATCATCCTATTTCTTCTGTTCATTTTTGCCCCATGGATACTTGAAAGTTTCTTTCTTTCCATCAATATTCTCCATCAAAAGCTGCATCCAATGTCCCAGAGCCCTTAGTCCTTGCCTTTTACATCAGACCCTCTTTCCTCCTGATGCTCATGTCTTAATTTCCTCTATTCCTACTCCAAATTTGGTATCACAAAAGTCTGAATCGTGTTGCTGAAGAATGAACTTTGGTTGACGGAATGGTAAGGCAGACACACATGCACAGTGACACAAGTGACATACACCTTGGCTTTCTTTCTTCTTTTTTTTTTTAATTTTTAAGTGTTTTTTAATATTTGAGAGAGAAAGACAGAGCGTGAGTGGGGGAAGGGCAGAAAGAGAGGGAGACACAGAATCCGAAATAGGCTCCAGGCTGAGTTGTCAGTACAGAGCCCGACGTGGGGCTCAAACTCACGGACCACGAGATCATGACCTGAGCCGAAGTCGGATGCTTAATCAATTGAGCCATTCAGGCACCCACCACTCTGGCTTTCTAAACTCCACTGCTATTAATATGTAAATGAAACTTTGTCACAAATCATCTGTGTTTGTACAGTAGAGTCCTATCTCAAACTGAATTAGCACTTGTTGACGTCCAATAAAATAAAAATTTCAAATGTCATTAAGGGCCCACTACACCCAAGGTATTGTACTCTATGCTCAAGAAACAAAGAAACTTACAAAGACATACAATATCTGTTTCCTGCTATGTGCCTTCGGTTGGAAATATGAAAATTATAAACAAGGGGGGAAAAGCCCTATCTTCCAAAATAAAATGTAACAACGATGTAATTCAAGAGAAATGTTTTAGAAAGTTCATAGCCACTAGAGTAGTACAATAAGACTGTAATACATATTCCCCATCTCCTTTCTTCAAACAAAACACAATCACCCCAGGTGGAAAGATATGGCAGCAGGGTCTTCAGCTTCCAATTTTTGGGTAAAGTCTGGTCTAGAGAAGGTGGCCTTAAATTTTGGATTCTCCAAATGTGGTTTTGTTGTGGAAAATGTGCCTTTCACATCTCGTGTTTACTTGTCTGTCTACTAGATGCCACTCACTGGGTATACCTTCGGTGGGCCACAGAGATGGCCTTGCTTTCCTGTAGTTTCCAGGGGGTATATTTCATGAACAGGCCTCGATTTGGGCTCTAGTTGACTTTGTTTTCTATTTCCCTGATCTTTCTTATTCATGTTTTTGTCTTATTCATGTTCCCCCCTCCCCCCCCAGCATCGTATGTTTTTTTTTTTGTAAGATGCCATAAATTCCTAACACAAAACTGCATATAAACAACAAAGGGATGTTTCTAGTTAATCGCGTGCCAGCATTTCTTGCCTTGTATTTGATTAGCTACTTGAGGACAGGGGTTCTGTCTCCCTCATTAGAATATGGTATTTATTTTTCCATTTGTCTTAATACTCAGCATTGTATGCAATATATGTCTCAACAAATTGTTTGTATATATAATTTATCCCACTGAAATAGTTTTGTTGAGCATTGTCCTTGATTGAAACAACAGTTCTCCCTCAGTTCTGCAATCACGCAGGCAAGAGGTGCTGAAATATCCAAAATAAAGCATTTGCACAGGAAATACCAGGCTTAAGATCTGCCATATCGTGAATAGATAAGATCACCCAAACTAGCTAGCTTAACTTTTTAGGAACAAACAGATGGTCAATAGTTCATTATAATCACTGAGAACCAAGATTCAAATGGTCTCACTCAAAAAGGAGTTTTACAGCCTCTAGCTGAAGTTTAGGATCAAGCTGAATCAAACTGGGCTGTTGAAGAAGGAAACTGGATGATTATATCTTGCCCAGTCTCCACTGGACACCCAAAGGGAAGAATTAGGAAAGAAAAGCTTTGGCTTTTCTTTGGGAATGGTCCTTCCCTGGTTTGACTTTGTAGAAAAAGCTAATTAAGCAATGCCAGATGAAAAACGCAGGCGGCTGACCCAAGATTTGATCAACATAGCATTTACTCAGTTTAATTCAGTGAGCATTTCCCTGTGTGTTCTGTGCAAGACACTGCCCCAGGCAAGATAGGAATGTGAGGGAGATAGAAGAATGTGGGGGAGGCAGAAATGAACAAACACACAAAAGACACAAAATCTGGCCCCAGAAATTGGGGAGGAGCTCATGGAGAAGGCATTGGAGGAGGGGTGAGTCAGAGAGCCCGAAATGGAAGGATGGGTATTATTCCAGGAGGAGGAAACCTTCAGCACAAGGGCATGGTGATGGAAACTGTGCTGTGTAGTTGGAAAGGCGGGTTGGATGGCTAGACAATTGGGGAGATGGCAAATTACCAAAATATCAAAATATTTGGAGATATGTGGTGACTCAATTACATGCTCCGGTTCCACATAGATGTTTGGAGTCCTAAACAGCCAGATACTGGCCAGGGAAATTTATCTCATGCATGGTGTATGGGGAGCGGGAGGACCATAGGGAAATCCATCCTTTCTCCCTCCCTTCCCCGACTCCCAGCTAAGCCAGGACTATTTCTACAGGGAATCTCAGAACTAATACTAGTATCTCATTCATAGAGCTGAGTGGTTCTTTTTGTCCTATGTCAAAGATTTCACTTTATTAATATTAGCACTTCAGATCAAGATGATCTTTTCAAAGCATGCATAGTTTCTACTGGATGAGTGGTTCTTAAGGTACACTCAGTGAAATCCTAAGTTTCCTTTGGAAACACCTCCAGGTTTCCCAGAACGGAGAAAGAAATATATCAAAATGAGGAGGAAACAGCAGCAGACACTCACCCCATTTCAAAGACAGCAGATCTGCGTTAGTCTATTTTATACATGAGCC